AACCCAAACATTACTTTAAACATTAAATCTAATCAAAGCCAACATTTCTACTACCAAGAGAGGCCAAAATGTGTAGGTAATGCAGATCTGCAATCTTCTGGTTCTGGTTTTCTTAGTTAACATTTTATTTGGGACCCGACCCTTAAATTTTTTATGCGGAAAAAACAAAAAAATGTGGGGAACAAAACATACCCGGGCTTTCCCCGGTAGGGGGGAAACTACCAAAAAAAGCAGGTTTGGCATTGCAGCCCCTTGTGGAAAAGTGGTCTGTCCCGGGGATTCCGACCTTTTATTTTGTGGATTCCCCTGACAGGTAAGTTAACTCTTGGTCTTAAATGGAAATGATGTTCCATAAATCACAGATGTATATATTGGAAATTTTGGTGGTGATCCAATACAAGCTAAACTTCTTGATAGCAAATTTTTAAAAATAATGTTTGGGTTTTTTTTCCCGTAGTGATTAGAGACTGACACCCGGGGGTGGAAAATTTTTACTCCTGTTTCCCCTCCCACTCCCCCAGAAAAAAAAAGGGGTCCCCTCCCGGGGCCCGAGTAGAAAAACTAAAACCCGTCCCGTTTCCCCCTCCCCGGGGAACCCTTTAAATTTCCCCCCCCATCCCGCTCCCCCTTTAGAATGACCCCCCGCCCCCTGCACCACCCCATTCTTTTGTTTTTCCCTTTAATAAGATTTCTGCCAATCCCTTTAATCTGAATTTCTCTGAATGGGGCATTTAATTCCCCGTTTTTAAATGGTAAACTGTTTGGTCCCCCATTGTTGTTTTTGACGCCGGGGGAAAAACTCAGACGGAAAACACTGTTTGGGTTTTTTGGGGGGTGTAGTTTTTTTTTACTCCGGGGGGTTTTTTAAGGGGTGGGGTTCAAAAAAAAAAAACTTTTCACAATGGGGCCCCCATTCTGGATTTTTTTTCTTTCTATTTTTTTTTTTTTTTTTTTTAATTTTTTTTTGGCAATAACCCAGTTTTTTTTTTTGTTTTTCTATTTGGTTTTCTCCCCCTCCCGTCCCGCTCCCTTAGTGTTTTTAAATCCGTACCGTCCCAATCCAAAGTGATCGTTTTTACTTAAGTACTGACTCCCACCCACGGGGAAACCCCCTGGGATTCCCCGGGACCCCCTTGGGGAAAAAAATTTTTTTCCCAAAAAATGTCAGTCTCTAGTAGTGATGGCAATTTTGAAAACTACATCCTGATGTTAAGGCAGCTTCTTTGTTTCCTTTCTTTCTCTACTGGATGAACTGATTAATCCAGGTGTATCTGGCCAATGCTTTCTGAGGTCAGGCAAAGTTAGATTAATCAGTTTATTCAGTAGAGAAAGACAGGGAACAAATGAGCTGCTTTAACTTCAGGAAGTAGTGGAGTTGTGAATAAAGTCCACTGGATAAAAACTCAACATCATGCTTAATACAGTTGAACAGATTTGAATGGCGACATCTGCTGATTGGCTATGAGAAATACATTTGTCTAAATTAATCCACGACTGAACTAATTTGTTCCATAATATTAGTATTGATAATGATAGTATAAATAAATGAATAAAAAAAATTCTGACTTGTGGAATTTTAAAGAGACATAAAGCCCTTTTGATTATTATTGCTGAAGCTTTTCTGAGCTCAATGTTGTTTAATTGTATCTCAGACTATAATTCTGTAATTTAGATAAAAACGATATGACAAAACGATGATGTGGGAATGGTATGTGCCTCTGCAACTGTGCTTATGTCACTTTAAACTGTAAAATTGGAAGGAGATGGTTGTGTGAATTTGTTTTGTAGTTAAAAAATTTGTATTAAAAAAATATTTCTTTTCAGCAGTGCCTGGTTCAGCCTGCTCCCCTCTTCTTTCATTACCTCTCCAGCTTTGGAGGAGACCCATTCGCTTGGTACCAATGTTGCTGGTATCAACCGATATTATTTAGCTATTTTATGTAAATTAGGATGCACCGCAGCTGTTATATCTGAGCGGGTCCGCTCCTCTGTAGAGGTAGGCCTCAGATAGTTTTGTATTTCCATCTGCGGTCTCACTGCCGTCTAACTGTGGTTGCACCTACAACAAAATAACTACATTAACAATTGTTAAGATAAATGATTTTTGTATATTAAATAAATATTATGGAGCACTTGATTAATTGATCACACAAGTTAATGTTATCCTAAAAAAACTTAATCCATAAAATTTGTCCTCTACATTTAACCTGCAATCAGAAAAGAAGTGGAGAAATGGTTATACCCTTGCAAATCATGAAAGTCTTGTATTTTGCACTGTTGCATCATTTGTTCATTGGAGCTCACCAACGTACTTTGCTGGTGTAGATCAACCCACATTTAAAAAACAAGTAGAAAGCAAAGATATTTCTTTGTTGTTTCTTTTATTGAAATCTACCTTTGATAAAGGTCCAACCAAAAACAGAATGAGTCCAACATAAACAAACCATTTCAGCTTCAATGCTTCAGGTAGCTGTAGAGTAACATGTAGCAGGTTAATTCTTAACAGAATTTAAGATATATAAAGCTTTCTGCCATCATGGAGGTAAAAGGAAGTGCTAGCTAAATCCAGATGGTCAGAAGTGATACATTTTAAGACCTGAATTGATTTAAATCAGATGTATTTAAAGGCCCTGTCATACCTTGACGATTTAGCCAGCATATGCCTGACATCCCAGAATCTTCTAAAACGATGGCATACGCTGAACTTTCGATGTGTTTAATTTTGAGCGTTTACATGGAGTATTCATCACGAGTCCAGAACTTATGTCCAACGAAAGCCAAACTTATGCAATACGGGGGGGGGGGGGGGGGGGGGGGGGGGGGGGGGGGGGGGGGGGGGGGGGGGGGGAATGCGCCCGGAGGCGTCTGGTCTGCATAAAAAGATTTATTTGATCGCAGTAATAACCTAGCTGCTGTTTAAAAGAAAAAAAGAAAAAGAAAGGGGATTTGCAGTCACAGTAGATTGAGCATGATGTCTGCTAGAAAATTTGTTGTTAGCGGCTGTGGGTGTTAAACTGTAGAACTGACGGTTTCCTCCTGTGAATCCCCTTTTATATCGAAAACGCTGCCAATACGCCATTTAACGGTAGCTGTACGTTAGAAACACATTCAGCGGTGGTCTGGAACACATCAAATACGTTGATATGCGTTGGAGAAAACGTCTTGATAAGTTACGCGTAAGTTATGCACAAGTTACTCATAGGTTTTAAATAAAGCATCACGACGCCATGACCTATGAGTAACTTACACTTAACGTATGTCAACCATCAAAAAACCTACCTGTAACTTATGGCCCAGGTATAAGTAAATGCTTAAAATGTTTTGACGTACTTACAGTATGTTGACGTGTGCCAGCCTACTTCAGCGTGCTCATAACTTATACAAAACTGACCTATAACTTATCCAACGTATGCCAGCGTTTTTAGCCAGATTTTCCGTACGTCAGACATACGCTGGTTAAATCGTCAAGGTGTGAAAGGGACATTAGCAGGTAAACCTCTAGGAGATTTACTCCTGGGGATTTTAGTGTAACTAAAACCAATTCTTGATGCAGTTTTTGTGTTTTCACAGACTTGATTGTTTGTGTTGGGTGGAATGACGGATACACTGACCTTGCATGAATAACCGAGTAACAGCTTGAGGAATAATCTCTAAAACTTCATCTTCTTTTTTTATAAGAGCTAAAATTGTATTTGATATGAACAAATTGGAACAGTTATAGTATAATTCCTGGTTTAAAGTATATTTTATAGGGTGTACAACTTGGTTTATCACAACTTTAGGCTTTGTGTGGCCTTAGGGGGGTCCGGAGGTTTCCTTCCCCGGAAAATGTTTAAATTTATACCCTCTGGACGCTAATTCCTGCATCTTTATGTGGAATGCAGCTCACTTTTTGTTTATGTTACAACACTGCTTTTGTCCTGATTATTATAAGTATGTGTGCTTGAATGGCTGTGGAGATTTCATAAGAAAGACATGAAATAATTTTTTGGTACAATATTATGTTTCATAGGATAGTTCAAACAAAGAGTGAACAGATGCATTTCCATTTAAATTAAATTACTGGTATGTATTTTTTCAAGAATCGTAAGATAAAAGCACATTTTAATTGTACCTGGAGTACAATTTATTAAAAGCAATCAATAAAATTAGCTGATGTCAAAAGCAAATAGTTCAAAAACTCTCCTTAAAGGTGATGTGTTTGTCTGTGAAAATATTTACATTAATTACATCTTTTAGATTTACAAATACTTCTATTTTCTCTTGTAGGTTTTTATTCTTTAATGTTTTTATTTTAATACTTTAATCTGCTTTTGAGGGGTGTTTTTATTTTTGCAAGGATGTCCCTGAAAGATGCGTATTTTTTTGTGTAGAAGTGTTTTTAATGTCTGCATTTTATGTTTCCATGCGTTTCCAAACAAAATGATATTAGGTTTTCATAAAGGTGGAGATTCCTCACAGCAACAGAAATATAGCACAGGGTGTTACTGTAGCACAGAAGACTTTGTGAAACAGTGCTGTGGAATCAGAAAATTTAGAGAAAGGCGTTCCTTCCTCCTGTAAAATAAAAAACAATTTAAAGCCTCCTGTAAAGTGTGTTTACAGTTGAGTTTTGCTTATCACTCAGCACTTAGGTAAAGTGTTTATATTTTCCATAAACATTCTGATCCAGACCGTTCGACAGGGACATAATCTTTTCAGGGCATTACTTTGTGTGTGTTTTGTTTAGACTGAAGGTACAGCTGCATTGGGTTAACTTGATGGGCTGCCATTATTGGCTGCTGGAGGGGCCTGGGATGTGATGGTCACAGTAGGACGCTCCGAGGTACCAGGACCAGCTATCTGAGACATCACTGGAACAGATAAATACAGGCAGTGAGAGATCAGGCCCGCTGATGGCAGAGTTTATTTCTCACCAATGATGAAGTATGTTGTGGCAGCTGGTGTGCGGACCTGTGTCATTATGGCCATACTTTCCTTCAATTCTTTTGTCTCCTCAGTGCTGGATTCGGACTCGTTCTTCATCATCTTATGGACGGAAGACGGTATGCTGAAGGGCTGGAGGAAGATCTGCTGAAGAACCTAAACTTGCTCCTGCTTCTGGAAAAGGTCCCTCACAGATTTATTCCACTGTTTACCTATTTCTACTTACAGAACATGAGTTTTGCTTATCACAAAATAATGAAGCCTTAAATGCTCTGTTTTCAAGGTTTCTAGGTAGAGCAGTCCTGCTCATTATCCACCAGCAGGAAGTGTAGCGCAGAAGATGAACAGTTTGGTGGAGGCTGGAACATTGAGCCAGACGTCGCAACGATACCTCCAGGTGTTACCATGTTCATGATCTGCATATTGTCCAGGTTCAGATGATGGAGGAACTCCTCTACATGATTACTTGCTGCCAAATTTTGACAAAGATGCTTCAGTACTCAGAAGTCGTACCACGTTATAGTCCATAACAGACCTGTTAAAGTTATGTTTATTGGTTTATTTTTTGAAGACTAAAACATGCAGTTTTGCCTCACTAAGCTGCTGCAAAATGGCTTGAACCCACTGCTAAACCCAGTGGCTTGAACCACTCCTTGGGGCCTTAGTGCAGGGCCTACAACACAAGATCTCATTATTATTCCATGTTGACTACAGGGGATGTATAGAGGTTCTACTCCTCCATTGATTGACTTATAACAAAATTATCTCCCATGTTGTTCTTGTGATTGCCTAAACGAATGAAGATACCACATTTATAGTAAATACATGAATCAATCTTTATTTGCATTATATCACATACATCACTTACATTTGCGGGGGCCTGGACAGGGGAATGATTAACTGAGACCATGTGTGCTAAAGAACACTGTCATTAGGCGCATTCTTTCGGCTACCGTACGGCTACCCCGTCGTGTGGTGGTTTCCTTAGGGCGTTGCCTTTTATCTCAGTGGAAAGATTGGAGCCACATTGGGGAGGGAGAGGGGAAAAAGCATATTTCACACTTTATCCTTAACAGGGTACAGTTTAAGATATCAAAAAAGAACCTCAGCACAAAAACGCACATATAAACACCAGACAAACATTTCAGCAGAAATGTTTGTGAAGATTCTCAGTCATCAAGGTCATGTTCATGCTTGAAAAAATTTGGTCTTGGCAGCTGGATGTGAGGTTTTCTAGAATTAGTTTCAACAACGCAGTGCACAGAAACATCCAGTTCACACGGGAAGATGTGAAAGATGACAGCCTTGCTTTCCTGGACTGCGTGGTTCACATCATGGAAGACAGACAACTCAGTTTACAGGAAACCTGCACACCGACCAGTACCTCCCTTTTGACTCACTCCACCCACTGAAACACAAACTAGGCATCATCAGAACCCTCCAGACATGAGCAGAAACCATTCCCACCATCAACAGAGGGAGGATAAGAGAACAGGGACACATTAGGACATCTGGAGTTATCCCAGATGGGCATTTCTAAAAACCAACAAGAAGAGGTCTGCTGAGAAGGAAGAAAAGAGAAGAAGGAACATCGTCAATTTCTGTGTTGATGGAGTTGTTGAAAAACTCAGGAGGATTTTCAACCAGCACCCAGTTGCCATTTCAAACCTGGCAACACCCGAAGACAAAATTACCCAGAAGATTCACCTCCCACTCGTCCCCATCTGAGTTCTGGGCTCTTCCGCCCTAACATCCAGCGGAGTTTTGATAAGGGGCCGGCCGAAGTCCAGAATAAACTTGTTTTAAGAGCAAGCTGCACAGAATCTTTCACCTGCCTTGAAGTCTTTGTCGCTGTGCTCCTAATGGCGAATCCAGTATTCCAAACTTGTTGGACTTTTCTGCCTTGAAGCGAGCATGCACATCCAAGATATTATCCCATCTTACCCTTGAGGTCAACCACCACAGCCAGGTTGCCGTTCCATCGCACCCAGCATACGGCTCAGCTCACAGTCCTGCTCGTTCACAGCCTTTGTGAGCGCATCAACTGTCGCCGACATCCTCCATAATTGTAGATACATCAGGTATCCTCGTAATCCATACAGATGATATCTGAGTATCTTAAGTCCAAACATGTATATGTCTTCCACGTCCTTGACTGACAGCATCGTAAAACACACCATTCTGCAAGCCTTCCAGGAGTCTAGAGTTTATCCCACAAAGTATGTGCCAGCAGGACAAGACTTAAGCCTGTTTTCTAATTGAGAAAATGTTATCAATTGCATTGAGAGACCAGCTGACTGGATGCATTGTATGATTCGGGTGATATGAAGAGAGGGCTCAGAGGGCTCTGCCTTATGCCCTCTGGAAAGAAGCTTCTCAGCATTCAATGGAGGGCCAGCAGGTTCTGCAACAGCTGTTTCCCCGCTGCCATAAGACTGCTGAACTGTTGAAATTCTAATTAAGTCAAAAATCAAGACTGCATCACACTTGTAAACATCATATTGACACTACATGGCCAATTTTCAAATCCTTTTAACTAGAACTCAAATCAGTGTTTCTACTGCCTTTTGCACCATATTGAATCATTTATTTTGCACTGCTCTGAACCGTCCACTTCAATGCCTTTTGGATCATGTCTCTCCTACACTGTTTACTTTTTGATCACTGCTGCACTTTATAAATGGAAATGTTCATTTCACTGCTAAGCTTCTCATTCACTTTTGAAGCAGTATGCATCAAAATGTGTATACACTGTATACAAAATGACAATAAAGTTTGTCAAGGTCTAGTTCCATTTGTGTGATATAGGCACTTCCTGTCGCCTGTTGTCATGGTGACTCATCAAAGCTATTCCGATCTAATTAAACTAACTCACAGCAGCTTTTTTGAAACCAAGAATTCAGTTTACAACCTCAGACCAATTCAGAGTTGACTCATTTTTGATTATGTTAAAAAAAAAACAGGTTGAATCTGTGCTGCTAAGAGCCAACAAGAACTACAGGCGGCCTGTTACTCAGTTTATCTAGGTGTTTCCAAATCTCTCTAAAAATTACTGGATCATCTCGGCCCTTTAATGAACTACAGCCTGAAGCCACATCTATTTTAACTTCAAATAATTCATGTTATTAATACCCTGGTAAATTCACATTAAAGGGCCCGTATCATGCAAACTCAGCTTTTAAGCTGTTAACAGCTTTGTAAGGCTATTCCTTAATTAAATAATGCTCAAAGTAGTAGAAAGAAAGAGGCCAATTATCTATTTACAATGTTTTAGCCACTTACTCTGTTCAGTCTGGCTACTGTTGTCGAGAAACAGCAGCTGATGCTATTAATCTTTAACATCTTAAGAGAAAACATCCCCACTGTCATGTGAAGAGCTGCACTTTACACTCAGCCGGAGGAAACTTAGACACAATCTCAACCATCAGAGGCAATGGTTTCACACTCAAAGGAATGAAATATCTGTCTCTGTGGAAAAAGAAAATGGGGTAAGCTGATTTCTTCCTAAGCTGTTTTTATCTATGTCTTAAATTCCTGGATTAACTTTTTAAGATTAAATAAACAGATATTTTAAGTTAAAACAAGCTTAAAGTTGCTATAATCACTTCTACTTGCAGGCAACAGAACAAGAAAAATCACGGGCAGTTGTAACAAATCTGAACATTGTATTCCAAATTTAATTTGGCTGTTTTTAGTTGTGTTTTATAGGGTTGTTTTTGTGTGTTTAACAGGAAAGCTGCTTGGATCACATTCTTGATCTCCTTCACTTTGTGTGGCACATAAAAACGCAGCTGACTTTGTTTCTCCTGCAGGTTTAAAATGTTTATGAGGTGGTTAACGTTCATAGCTCTTCTGGCTGCCTCAGTGAATTCAGGAGGCCGGGTTTCTGGTCGGGGATCGGTGACTTTTGAGTCAACCTGCAGGGTCAAAAGTGAACCAGAGGAAGAGCTGATCTTACACTGTGGAGACGGAAAATATGAAGGTGAGGATTTCATTTGATAATATTTTATGAACAGCCTACATGGTGTCAGTAATAGTTTGAAAACAGTTCTTGGTTCCTGCTAATCAGACTTTCCCTTGTAAACTGATCCAAGGTTTTCTGTGAAGTTTTAGTCCTGTCAAGTTCCTAAATCACTTTCAGAGTAATCTTTGTTACTTAGCCATTTAATTCTAAGCTTTGAATCATTAGGGCATAACAAAGGCTCTTTAGAATAAAGCAAATAAAATAGGCTGTTTTGACACAAAGCAGATAACTTGAACTCCAAAAATTGAATGAAAGGTTAGAGAGAAGCGTAAAATAAATGTTTGCAATTGATTTGGCGCAGGTAAGTAAAATGACTTTATTTTTTTTTTACTTTTAAGAAGGGGAAAAATACATTTTAAACTTAGTGCATTATATGTAATGTTTTTAAGATAAAAAAAAAATTATATCATTTTTAGAGCTGACTTCTACCTTCTGTGAAAGAGAATATACTGTTCTATATAAGCAGCAGGGAATTTATATTTAAACCTCTTTACAAATTGTTCTCTCCAAAGAAAATTTAATAAGACTAAAAAGGGCATCAGTGGCAGCTGCTTATTTTGCACTTGGCGTGGGACATCCTGCTGAATGTACAGTACCAACTTTTGATCATTGCTAGGTCAAGATATAACAGCCTAAGATTTGTAGAACATATTTTATTTAGAAGACTCAAATAAAACTATTTCAGAATAATCCTGTCTTTCACAGTGAGGGTGGAGGTTTGACAGGACCCAAATGCAGACACAAAGGTGGTTACTTGAAGGTTAAAAAACAAAAGTTAAACAGAAGCAAAAATCCAAAAATATAAAACGCTGAAAACCAGGAATACTCAAAACACTAAGGTGACAAAGAAATGTCAACAAACCAGCAAAGAGTGACTGAACAGGAGATTATATGGGAGTGACAATCAAAGACCAGACTAATTAGCAGATTGGGAGCAGGTGTGAACAGAGGCAAGAAGGGAGCTAGGGAAAAGGAGACTGACACAAGAGGGCAAACAAGAAATATCTAAGAACTCAAATACAATCAAAAATAACTAGAACACAAGAATCGAAATAAGACCAACGAAAACTCAATATAAAATATTTCGTCAATATAATTAAACTTGGACAAAACCATGACACTGTTCATGTTTGAGTTGTCTGCATGTTCTTGTCTTTTATTTTTTTTATTAAATACCAAAAAAGCTCTAAAATCAAATTTTTTGTGTTTTTATTTTTAGAATGAAGAAGGTTTTACAAATCAAACAGTATTTTGATATGATTTGTTAATACATTACAAATATCCAGTTTAAATTTAAGATTTGATTTTGTGCTATGGTTGATCAAAGTTTACTGGACTTGATAAATACAGCTAATTAGTCCTTTATTATAGTCACTTTGTCAAAATGTTAACAATAAAGGGCCATTTTTTGGTTTTTATTAAGCTCTGAATCGTCATGCTATTGGATTTTCTTTCTTTAGAATTGTAATAAAAATACATGTTTTTTTTACAAAAAAAAATGTTTTGCTCCCATTTCACAACAGATTGTCAAGTTGTTTATTTTGTTTCACCACCCATGATTTGTTCCCTGATTTTAAAACTGTAGAAAACTCCCAGCTCCCATAGCACATAGTCTCATTAAACATGTGTCAGTGCTAATGGGTGGGCCTGGAGGCCAGAGTCCAATGATAGTCCAATGGTTCAGATCTGCTTTAAAGGAATAGTACACCCAAAACATGATTAGCCTTCATTTTCTACTCACCCCCATGCTGAACAACACTCTGGAGTACTTTTTTGATATCTCAAATGCATCTGGAGATCTGGGAGGCTTCTTGCTGTCTGCTGACATTCAAATAATGGAGGTCTATGGCGCCCGAGGCAGAAAGGTCCATAAAAGTCCACAAAAAACGTGTCAATATTCCTCCATACTGCTCGTCCAATGTATTCCATGTGTCCTGAGTGGGTAGCGTCCATAATTTACTCGAAACTCGAATCCTATACACTACTGTTTATGCTCTAAAAACATTCTAAATGACTTCGTTTCGAGTAAATTCTTATCTTGGAAAGATAAGCTTAATGGCTGCTTTTTTTGCATACCATAATTAGAAAAAAAAGGAGGAATCAGAATCAGAAAAAAACAAAACACCCAGTATTTGTTTTGTAATCTTTTTTTTTTTTTTTTTTTTTTATGTAATCAATTTTTATTTTATTTTATTTTATTTTATTTTTTTTGCACCTGCTACTTGGACTGCAGCTTAAAGGTTCTGGAAACAAAGCAAATATATTTTCGCTGTTAGCCTCTTTTATATTAAACCTCCCAGATGGAAAAAATACACAAAAAGAATATATAAATGTTAAATGAAATAAAACATATTAAAGGTTGTTATAGCTGTAACTCCTTTTGCTTTAGCTAAGTTAATGCTAAAGTAATTTGAAGTGTAAATCATTTAGGAAACTGCTGATCAATCACCTTGTGCATAAAGGTGTTAGCCAACCCCATTGGATGAATGTGCTGCCAAACAGAACTCACAAATGTTTGAGTAGTGAGACCTCAATATATTTTTTAACAATTATTTTGTTATTTTCTGATCAGTTTTCTAATTTTCCAGCGAATCAGACCTTCCCTTGTAAACTGGTCCAAGGTTTTCTGTGAAGTTTAAGTCCTGTCAAGTTCCTAAATCACTTTCAGAGTAATCTTTATTACTTAGCCGTTTAATTCTAAGCTTTGAATTGTTCAGGCATAACAAAGGCTCTTTAGAATAAAGCAAATAAAATAGGCTGTTTTGACACAAAGCAGACAACTTGAACTCCAAAAACTGAATGAAAAGTAAGAGAGAAGCGTAAAATAAATGTTTGCAATTGACTTGGCGCAGGTAAGTAAAATGACTTACTTTATTTTTTTTTTACTTTTAAGAAGGGGAAAAATACATTTTAATCTTAGTGCATTATATGTAACTTATTTAAGATAAAAAAATATATATATATCATTTTTAGAGCCGACTTCTACATTCTGTGAAAAAGAGAATATACTGTTCTATATAAGCAGCAGGGTGATTTATCTTTTAATCTTTTTACAAATTGTTCTCTGCAAAGAAAGTGTCATAAGACTAAAAAGGGCATCAGTGGCAGCTGCTTATTTTGCACTTGGCGTTTTTGTTGTTGTTATTTTGTTATTTTCTGATCAGTTTTCTAATTTACCATTATAATTTAGAAACTATTATTTGATTTGATGTATTGCACATTTATTTCTTGAATTCCTCTGTGAAAAAGCAGCAAAATTAAAAAGGCAAGAAAAATATGTTGTCTCTTGTTATAGGTGTGGTCCAATTCTGGCACACCCCATTTGGTGACCTCCAGAGTTCCTCTTCACAGTCTAACCTGGACGCAGCGTTTATTCACCTCGATGGGCATCTTGTGATCCCAAACTCCAGCATCCATCACAGTGGACTGTACTACTGCATCCTGCTTCACCTGGATGGATCCACACTGTGGCCCTATGAGCTGCATGTAGGTCTGAGCCACCAAAACGTAGCGGATGAGGATGAGCGCGGCAACAGTTGTTCTGCACACAGGTTCAGGAGGAACGCAGGTTTCCCAGAGAAGAATGCAGCTGTGGTTTCGGATGAGACTTTTGCCGGAGCGGTGGCTGCATCGGTGCTGCTGACGTTTTTGGTGGGATTCAGCGCTGGAGCTCTGCTACGGTCTCGTGTTCTCAGGTGGGTTTGGAACAAGGAATGTGATTATTTGGTATTTTATCAAAAAGTATTTTCCTTCAGATTTTATTATAAGCCTTTTCTCTCCTATTTGTAGTTTGTATATTGGTTGGAGTTAAAAAAATTAAAAGAATGATGGATGCAATTCAAAAGTATTAGTCTAACTTGTTCCAGTTCATTGTGATTTGGGTGGGTGGGTAGGTGGGTAGGTACACCCCTTCTTTCATATGATTTAAAAAAAAGTAACCACATACATTTATTGGAAGAACCTAATTATTTTATTGTTAGTAAGTGTGACAATGTTTAAAAACAAGGATATACTGCGGTAAGTCCCAGTGATCATGATGCAAAAGGCCAAAAGTTCATATTAATAAATATTACTAAATATGTCTCACTGCAATGGCAGGAGATGATAACCTGAAACAAACCTGAGTGAGGGTGATTAAGAGATGTCAATACATTTACTAACCCAAAGATTGATTTCTTTCAGATGCTTACAGGCACTCAGGGTCAGGATGTCACGAAAGAAGCGACAACACCAGCCTGATGTGCCAGACAGTTCCCGGGTCACCATGACAACCCTGCCTCCCATGTATAATAGCCATGCCTTTAGGACTGAAACAAGGCAGCATAATGCTCCGCCGTCCAGAACCACAGAGACACCAGTTTTCCTTACAACACCATCTCCACCTGCCAAACCTAAGAGAAGCTTCCGGAACAGAGATGAGGAGAAACAGAAAGGAGCTGCATACTTGGAAGGATGTGATTACAACCAGGAGGAGGAAGGTTGTGAGGATGAAGAAAATGAGGGGGGAGAGTCTGCTAAACCTTCTTTCCATGTGCAAGATGAAGGGAGTCGTAGTGAAACGGAGGAAGACAAAAGTGAAGACCTAGAGGAGGCTGGAGCAGCAAGCAGGGTCTCAAGAATGGGGAAGAAAGGTGGAGCAGGGGAGCTGAGCAGAAGAGAGGAGGAGATGAGCGGAGAGGCGGATGGAGGACAACAAACGGATGAGGAGATTGCCCAGTCGCCCACGGAAACGGATGATGAGAAGAGCAACAAAAGCGAGGACGACACAGCCGAAGAGGAGCCTTCAACGTCGTCTTCCCGCCGTCGTCGGAGCCGCGTTATCCGTTTATACCAGTATGACGATGACGGCCAGAGATACGGCCACCTCCCGGATCCTGCCCCCCAGGCTCCAGAACCTGCCCCCAGGCTCAAACATCGCTCCCTTTCTCTAACGCGCCTGAACGCCATCATGGCAGTAGCCTCCACAGGGCTGATGGAGTCGGGGAAGGAGCAGGGCGAGGAGAAGCAGGGCTTCCACATGAAGATTTAAGAAAACCATTCAGACTGGAGGCTGTTCGTGGAGAGGAAAAAGACCTCAGAGACAAACACAAAGTCTGCTGTCTGAGAAACTACCAATGGTCAAATAATTTTAAAGATGTCTGCCAAGTTAAAAAAAGCAATAAACTCAGGGTGTGACCGGCCTCTCACAGCTGGAGAGAGGGACTATGCCCCCATTAGAGTATGTAGGTTTAGACAGAAATAAAATAAATGTCTTTAATGTAAACTTATGAAATAATTCTTTACTAAAGTGGTGAAATCCTTAAACATTTTGTTTCTTGTACTACAGTCTACTATGAATTATAACAGTAACAAACAAGTTAAACAGGTAACAGTTCTTAGCTACTGATTGTTCAAGGTGTACAATAATGGAGCTCCAGACCAATCATCCTGTTTACAGCATTCTTAGCTCCGCCCACTGAGTGTTGACATTAAAGCTGAGAGGTTCATTAGAATCATCATGAATACACACTTCTGAAAAATAATTCATTTGAATAATTCATAGAAACAGTTTATATTGAAATTTTCACATTTATATTATGATTTTGTGGCCTTTGACTGCAACACTATTGGAGGATCGTCTGCTTTTAATAATTACACATTAAAGTTGTCTAAAAATGGAAGGTACAATAACAAGTACTTATTTATCAGCAGATTTTTATTTAATTTCAGAGGCATGAACATCCAGTGTATTTACTGAAGATATTTTTGTGAACCTGTTTGGTAAAATCTGTTAAATTGAGGAGTTTTTAAAGGAAGATCAACTAAAGTTCTGTTCTCATGACTAAAAATAAATGATTGGGTTTTCTTAAAAAACACACAACTAATGTGTTATAAATTAAAACGTAAAAATGACTTCATTTGCTAAAAAAAAAAAAAATCTACCTTTATTCAAATTTTTTTTTTGTTTAGCAGATTTTATGGATGAAAGAAAAACGTTAAAATGGTGGAGCTCTTAATTATACTTTCTAGCACTTTTGGACTCATAGTTTGACACCGCCGCATTATATATTCCTTAGAGTCGCATCTTAATGGATGAAAAGATTATAAAGATGAATCAGAACCTTAGATTTAGGAGCCTTTGGGACTGAATGGAAAACCTGCAGAAAAAGCTATAAAATACATGTCAGTTCTTTACACTTGTATCTAATCAAAGTAGAATATCAATGGAAGTGCCAATTTCGGTCTAGGAGTTTATTTTTGTGTCTTTTAACAAGGTACAAAGGAAATACTGCATTAGCTCTGTCTTCAATGAGTGCTTAAAAAGGCATTTTCAGGTGAGAAATAAAATGCAACCATATTGAAGAGATGTGTGCATGTGTAAATTATAAATTCATGCAGTAGGTATTTATTTTAGGTTTATAGAATATAGTTAATTGTTAGAATGAGAACCTGAGAGAAAGGGGAGGCAGGGTTTATCCTTGACTCAAATAATCTATCCTTTCAAAACATCTCATTTTGCATTGCATTTCAGGAGAAAAAAAAAAAAAAACCTGAGGAGAGGTTAAATCGCACTTCCATGATCTTTTAACTGATTACAAGTCTGCAGTGGTGTCACAACTGCACACATTTGTTACTTAAGTTGAAGTATCAACTTGACCTCTTTACTCAAGTAAAAGTGAAAAAGTATGTGCTCCGAAAAAATACTTAAAAGTATAAAGTAACCTTTAAAAAAAAAAACAGCCAGGTGCCACTAAATTGAAAGCTAAATTTTTCGACAATTTTGAAAAATTCTTTGAGATAGGGCCAAGGATGAGGGAGGTCTTGTTGGTCTCCATCTCCCGATACGGTCTCGCCTGCGTCCAACCTTTAAGACATTTCAACATCTTTTTCTGAATCCTACATTATAGCATGGTTTAGACAATTCACGTTTGCACTAGTTTTCACTAGGTGTTGATGGCGCCAATGATCTACATTGGATGCAGCACATGATGTGAAAATATAAACATTAAACCGAAGCCAAGAGTAACGAGTAACGTTTGTTTTAAAGATATAAGGAATAGAAAGTACAGATACTTGTGTGAAAATGTAATATGTAGAAGTCAGAAATGGGAATAAAAATAAGTAATGGAGTAAAGTATAGATACCTAAAAAGTGTACTTAAGTACAGTAACAAAGTATTTGTACTTCATTACTTGACACATCTGCAGTGTGTAAATTTACATCTATGAGATGGGAATTAATGTAAAATTTTTGATGATATATTAGGGCCTTTCTTCCAAGATAATTTTGTTCATGTGAGGTAAATTTGTCCATGTCAGAGAAAGTGAAACATTTCCTCCTCTCTCAGCTGTCTGAATAGTTTAAAAAATATTGCAGTGACCAGAATTGTACACCCAGGACTTCTAATAGGACACCAAGTACAATATATTCTAACTATAGACCTTTAATACCTAATGGACCAAAGCCATCAGCTTAATTGTTAATTTACTTTAAAATAACCTATTTAACCACATTTCTAATAAACCTGAAGCATTTGTGAAAAGGCAACGCTTTTAAAAACTTCCTCCATCTGTTAAGATTTAAGAAATGTGTCTCAAAGGATGAAGATTAATCTGTTGATTCAGCTATCTAGAAGGCAATAACTAAACAATGAATGTAAAGAGACTGGTTAAACACATACAGGAAAACTTTGAATCCTTTAGGAAGTATGCTATTATTTTCATGTTTTGGTAACTTTATATTTTTTAATGGATGAATTCATTTCTCCTTTAAATTCACCAGGAATTCTAGTGTGAGATGTTTTGTTTATGTTGCCCTTGTTTGTTTGGTGATAATTTCAAACTGTAATAAAATAGCAGCTGATACTTTTGAATTCCTTTTAATAACAGTGAAAACATCTAAACAAGACACATAAACGAAACAAAAACAATAACCGGGGAGTAAATTCCACAATTCTTTCAGCAGATTTCATTTCCCCAGATTTTCTCCAAATGAACACCAGGAAAACAAATATGAACTTCTACTCCGAGAGAAACGACTCCCAGCAACTGTTTACCGAGGGCAGAGGATCTCTGACAGGATGTTGATGGTAGAGTCCACGGCGATTAGTCTGCAGTCCAGGTTTTGTTACTTGGGTTTTTTTTTTTGCATTTGTGAGACCAGCATCGGCCTTTGTTCTCATGTCAGCTGTTTAGTTTCTGCGGTTAGTTTTCGCTCGCCTTCCCTTTTGTTGGTGATGCATGGCAGCCTAGATGCTGACCTCGTCTTCTGCCATTCCACAAATTCATCTAGCAGCACAGGCCCTGCAGGACAATAAATGAATGCTCATTCACAGCACTGTTCATTTCACAATCCGAATAAAGCCTAATCAAAAAAAGTCTCACTGGAGAAAATAAAGTTTAAATTGATGTAAAGTCCTGTTATCATCCATTTTCATTTTGAAGCAGCACCAAAAGCTAAGTTAGTGAATTTCTTTGATACTCACAAGCACCGTCTTCATCGTAGTTACTGAGGTCTGTGTTGATGGTCCTGCTGAACTCTAGAACGTTGTACCACTGGTCTTTATTCAACCCTTTATACTTTGACTGCTGTGGAAGATAAAGGGTGTGGTCATTAGTGAAGAAGGACGGAGCAGGAGGAGAGTCGCTGGAGAAGACGAGGTTTTAAAAACAAATGAACCAAATAAAGGACAATGTGCTGACTGGACTATAAAAAAAATACATACAAAAAAAAAAAAAAAAAAGGTTTTATTTTTTTTAACAAGAAAAGTATTTCTGGTCACTATATTGTAAAATGGTCAATTAAAATTAATAATTACTATTTTACTGAACCCGGACCATATACAGGTGCTGGTCATAAAATTAGAATATCATGAAAAAGTAGATTGATTTCAGTAATTCCATTTAAAAAGTGAAACTTGTATATTATATTCATACATTACATACAAACTCATATATTTCAGATGTTTATTTTGTTTAATTTTGATGATTACAAATGACAACAAATGAAAATCTCAAATTCATCATATCAGAAAATTAGAATATTGTGAAAAGGTTCAAAATTGATGGCCCCTGGTGCCACACTCTAATCAGCTAATTAACTCAAACCACCTGCAAAAGCCTTTAAATGGTCTTTCAGTCTAGTTCTATAGGCTACACAATCATGGGGAAGACTGCTGACTTGACAGTTGTCCAAAAGACGACCATCGACACCTTGCACAAGGAGGGCAAGACACAAAAGGTCATCGCTAAAGAGGCTGGCTGTTCACAGAGCTCAGTGTCCAAGCACATTAATAGAGAGGCGAAGGGAAGGAAAAGATGTGGTCGAAAAAAGTGTACAAGCAAGAGAGATAACCGCACCCTGGAGAGGATTGTGAAACAAAACCCATTCAAAAATGTGGGGGAGATTCACAAAGAGTGGACTGCAGCTGGAGTGAGTGCTTCAAGATCCACCACACACAGACGTATGAAAGACATGGGTTTCTGCTGTCGCATTCCTTGTGTCAAGCCACTCTTGAACCACAGACAGCGTCAGAAGCGTCTTGCCTGGGCTAAAGAGAAACAGGACTGGACTGCTGGTGAGTGGTCCAAAGTCATGTTCTCTGATGAAAGTAAATTTTGCATTTCCTTTGGAAATCAAGGTCCCAGAGTCTGGAGGAAAAGAAGAGAGGCACTTCATCCACGTTGCTTGAAGTCCAGTGTAAAGTTTCCACAGTCAGTGATGGTTTGGGGTGCCATGTCATCTGCTGGTGTTGGTCCATTGTGTTTTCTGAGGTCCAGGGTCAACGCAGCCACATACCAGGAAGTTTTAGAGCACTTCATGCTTCCTGCAGCTGACCAACTTTTTGGAGATGCAGATTTCATTTTCCAACAGGACTTGGCACCTGCACACAGTGCCAAAGCTACCAGTACCTGGTTGAAGGACCATGGTATCCCTGTTCTTAATTGGCCAGCAAACTCTCCTGACCTTAACCCCATAGAAAATCTATGGGGTATTGTGAAGAAGAAGATGCAATACACCAGACCCAACAATTCAGAAGAGCTAAAAGCCACTATTAGAGCAACCTGGGCTATCATAACACCTGAGCAGTGCCACAGACTGATCGGCTCCATGCCACGCCGCATCGCTGCAGTAATACAGGCCAAAGGAGGCCCAACTAAATACTGAGTGCTGTACATGCTCATACTTTTCATGTTCATACTTTTCAGTTGGCCAACATTTCTATAAATCCTTTGTTTTTATTGGTCTTCAGTAATATTCTAATTTTCTGATATGATGAATTTGAGATTTTCATTTGTTGTCATTTGTAATCATCAAAATTAAACAAAATAAACATCTGAAATATATGAGTTTGTATGTAATGTATGAATATAATATACAAGTTTCACTTTTTAAATGGAATTACTGAAATCAATCTACTTTTTCATGATATTCTAATTTTATGACCAGCACCTGTATATTCTCAGGACTTTATTTTTATTATCCATAGGTCAACATTTAAAACAATAAAAACCCTGTGTCTAATGAGGAAACAATTAGGAAAAGAAGATTTTGTCTCATCTCACCAAGGCTGATTCATGCAGTGGGATTGAGTGAGTGATTATTCTTAAACTTATGTTAGAGTCCTTTAACACAGTCTGCCCTTTAACATCTCCACATTGTGTTAATAAATCCTGCTCCTTAAGATAAGCTTACACTCAGGTTTTCCACGTTTTATTTAAATCGAGTCACCTTGACAGAAATATGTGTATAAAAAGGTGCTAATTAAGTAGATAGTGTTATTAGGAGATCTGTTTAAAGGGAAAACTTTTTTTAGTTGTACTAAAACGTGCCACTATCCTTCACCATCACACGGTGAATAGGGAGGTTAAAGCAATAAATGAGCTACACTTTAATATGATGTTGCTCCATTTCAGCTCTGGGATAGTGAATAAAACAATGAGGTTCTTTTACAGAACCAGACAATTGGATCCAGCACCATCCCTGGTAAAGAACTGGAACCTTGGTGTAGATCATAGAACTGAATCAAAAACACAAAATGACTTTATTGTCCAGCACAAACAGCTCTAGTTCTTCCATCTATGCTCTTCATCTCCCAAAGTACGAAGACTTGTCACATTCCCTTCGCTGGTTCTACACAGCAGTTTACCTCCAGGAACTGGCGGAAGACAGGAAAAAGAGGCCAGGTCCTTCCCAGTAGCAGAGCCAACATGGATGTCGCCGTGTCCATGTCCAAACTCCTCTGGTTTGTATCCTGTAAACAAAAAGCACTGAATTGAAAGCCTAGGTTCTTAAACCGTCTCACCATTTTAATTCTTCAAGTCAGTGCCATCAGGAATAAGTCATTTCTAATTTGAAGAGGTAAAAATCTGTGTACATCACATATTTAACCATGTTTGCCCCAAGCAGCAGGACAATATTGTTTCAATGATGTTGGAATTAGGAAAAGCTTATGTAAGTGAATAGAAGTGCTTTTAACAAATCTGAAAAGAATCTGGTTACAAAGCAGAGACAACTTTGACCAAATTATAATCCCCTTCAACTAAACGCATCACCTATAACTATACTGATTTTTTTCAAAAAGATGCAGAGTAGATGAGTTTAATACCAACTTACTCCTACATATGATTAACTATTACGAGATTGACCCTGCTGATTTAAGCTCATGTTAGTTTGCATGCTTCTAAGGCATAACTAAAAGCCCTGACAAAAACACCTGTACATCCCTTTAAAGTGATTTCATTGTGTAGCAGCAAATTAAAAGCAGCATGCATCAACAGACTTACCCTGGCAAAGTCAAAGGCATATCTGTAGATATTTTTGAAGGCTACAGCGTCATTAAGCTCACTGCGCAAGTATTCGAGTTTGCTTTGTAACCTCTCAGTAGAGTCGCATCTGAAAAGCACAGAAATGTTGCATTCATAAATGCTAGTTATAGTCAAAAATGAAGCAGTAAAACAAAAAGCACTTACTGTAGTACTGTCATTCCCCTCAGCCATTCGTCTTTAGTGAAGTATCCCATTTTTGCAGCTTCTAGATGCCAGGCCAAAACTAACATTATAATCTGAAACAAAACCAAGTAGAGTTGTTAGAATATTTAAACCAGTTAAAGTGCAGTGGTAAATTAAGAAGATCCAGGTTCAATCCCAGTCTGACTCACATTCTCTGGTTCCACACCAATGTCTTCACAGAACTTCTCCATGGCTTCTGGACCAACCACCTTATCAGGACCAGCATACTTGTGGAACCAGGCCAGGCACCTTTTACTGGAAAACTGCCTTTCAGAACTGTTTGGTTTAACACCTCGGACCTGAGGACGGGTAAAGCTGCAATACAAAACATAAATTCAAGCAAGAATGCCTAAAAGAAACTAAACCTTGATGACTGTTCAATTTTATGATTTCAATAAGCTAGACTTAGGTTTCTACACATCATTTCAAAAGTCTAAACTTTTACTGTCAACTATTTCAACTAGAATGCACAGATAGGTAAATGTGCACCAATATCCTAACCTGATATTAATATTGCCATCATGGCCGATATACTTCCCTCCTCCTAGCACACCATGAAACATTGACATCACAATGTCACATGACTAAAACACAACATGACTGATCCTCCTGAAACAAAAACAGTAACTACAAAGAATAAATATCGGCCCAGTTTTATTTATCAGACCAATACGTAAAACTGGGTTATCAGTCCAAACAACCTTTAACTTGATGTTTTAAATACTTAAAAAAAAAGGCTATTTTTTTATCCCCACTAATCACATGTTCCCAGTAGAAAGGGCAGCTTTATGCAGTAATCTTAACGAGACTTGACATAAATTCCCTGAATGATTGTTAAACTGATCCACACCGTTGCCATCCCAGGAAGAAACCCTGTCATCATAAATGTTCATGTTTATGGCCATTGCAGAAAACGCAGCGCTACCGAACCAGATAACATTTTCAAACTTTTTATGATTGCCAATAAAGACAAACCAAGAGCAGCAGCAAAGGCGTTTGTCTTTAATTCCTGTCAAGGGTTAAAAGCAACCCTCCCCCATGAAAGACACGTACAAAACAAGACGTCTAAACTCACGGCAAGAACCGGTAAAAATAAGAGTTTTTATAATAATAAGTAGTAAGTAAATAATAAGTAAATAATTAGTAAATAATAAGTTTATGTATTGTTTCTATGGAGGTAAAAAAATAAAAAATAAAAAGAATCATCAGAGCTTAATTGCTCACCAAAGAGGTCGCATTTTTAAATAGGTTCATGTAGAGAGAAAACATTTTTTTTTAAAAGAGAATGTACCTTGTTATTTTACACTTGTGCCCTTGTTCCTCAGAATCAGGCAGTTTCCTCTTCTTCACAGGCATTATGGAACCTTTATGGGGCTTTCCTACATGGGCTACACACAAAAACAGGTTTGGGAGTTGATTATTGCAGATTTAGGGAATAACCAGAACATTGGAGAAATCTGACTGATTAAATATAAATCAGACAATTATCACAGGGGGTCTAGAGGGCTTCTGACGTCTTCAAATTTAATAACATCTCAATTTGTTTTCCAAAAAGGTGTCTAGATTTTTTACATTAGTCTTAGATTTATCAATAACTGTTTTTACTTTGTTGCTTTGACACATTATTGAATTGCTGGCCTCTAGGAACACTGCTACATCTTAGCTCAGATAATAAGGGACTAATAGATCAACATTAATTTCAATAATACAGAAAGGTTGTAGTTGTAAAAAAAACAGGCAGCAGAAATTAAAATGTTGCTATCGGAAAACAATCAAACATTTAAACTAGGGCTGCAAAACATAACGTATATCATTGCAATTTAATCACAGATTTAATGCAGATTTTATAGCCCGTTTTATACAGCAACTTCATTGTAGGTCATGGGTAGAATGTCGTTCCAATAGATGTTTACTACATCGATAGGAAAGCCCTAGATGTCAAAGCTCTAAGATAACAGATAAGAGGAAAATGTGAATTCATTTCAGCAGATGTTGAACCAATTAAATCAATATTCTATGATATGCATGTTATCTATTTCTTACCTGTATGCCTCTGGCTTCCTTGTCCATTCAAATTAACAAGATTCTGCTATAAAAAAAGAAAAGAAAAAAAAAGAAACATTTCAGATGAAAACCTTGTTTCTTACCAGTATACGGTTAATATATTAACGGCTTAAACTGTTGTTTTTATTATAAAAACAATAATGACTTACAAGCTTATCCAGCGTTTCTGAAGTTTTACCAGGTTGCACAAGCTGATCCGCTGATCTGTCGAACAGACAAGTTACTGATGAAAACCTGAAAAAAAAAAAAAAAGAAAAAGTTAGCCTCTTGTTGTGATTGGGTAATCCTAAGCATCCCTTAATGCATAGCTTTATAGTATATTAAATCAAATTTTTGTGATTAACAATAATTCTAAATATTTTTCAGGTGAATTGACACAAAAGAGAAAAAGCATCAGGCTCATCAATTGGTTATAGTCATGTCAGATGAACAGCGCTTAACAAAACAGATTCTTCAGCATTTAAGTTGCATTTCAGTTCAACCTTGCACGGCCGAACCTGATTTTGGCGAAGAGAATAAATGTAAAAGAGAGGCAGGCTGCAGGCAGCAGTTGTTAATGACTCAGTCCAGTTCATAGTACTACAGTTACTAATATTCTGACCACTCATTCCCCAGAACAGTTCAGATTAAAAAACATTATCATTACAGCATTCAACCTATAATGATGGTAAACAGCATTTCACACTATTTTTAGAGCAAATTGGGAAGGGAAAAAAAGGGGGAGTTGCGGTCTAGCGGTTAAGTCAAAGCTTGAATCCTGAGGTTGTGAGTTAGACCCTAAACCTCTGATTCCTCCCTGGGCGCCCCACAATGGCAGCCCACTGCTGCCCAAGGGGATGAGTTAAATGCAGAGGTAAATTACTTTTTTTGAGATCAGTAAAGTTCAATTATTTTTTAATTGTCCAACATTATTGTGATACTTTAAGTTCTTACATAAGTGTAAGATGATACCTGGAGAATGTTTATGAGCCACTGCACTTAAGCTGGCTTCATGTGGTCTAGTAAAAATGATCCCTTTGTCGTGGTAGAGAAGAGAAACATGATGGAGCCAAAGATTATCCTAACCTGCTAATTGGCCAAGACAGTTATTGGCTCATCTGATTCCAGTAAATCATGCACCCACTGGCGCACACTAAAGACTAAATCAGAAAATTGTCTACGTCAGAACCCAGTTCACACATTACCCTGTTGGCCGCTATCCTCGATGGCCTGCTATCTAGCATCCAATAGAATCCAACATCTACGGTCATTTTAAAAACAGCACAAGTTTAAATTGTGAAAAGAAATGTTTGTCACTGCATTGTGTAGGCAATGACACACAAGAGAGGACGTAAAAAAAAAATGCAGTACTCATCATAAAGAATTGGTTCTCCACCATGTTGAAAGGTCAAAGTTTTCCTGATCTCAGCATCTTGGGCATCATCCCCTTTTACCAGCTTTCCAGGGTAAAATACATGAGTGGGTATTCACTTGCAATTTTCATGCAAGTTTTGTTATTTACCATTATTAGGATACCACAATAAGGCAGTATGGTTCACTGGTGATGCCCACAAGAAAGAATGTAATACTGGCCCATTGATATTTAACACATAGCGTACAATTACAAATTACAAATAAATAGCGTACATTCTCTGATTAATGCACTTTAAGAGATTTTAAGCAGGCAATTTACTTTTCGTAAAACATATATCTAATTAAACAAAATATTAATACGAATTTATCTTATTACTCTAATCTCCAACGTGGTTCCATTATCCAGGTAATAAGTGTAGAAGTAGTCTATTCGAGCGTTTTTTTAAATCCAGATCCTTAAGGTACACTGCCCTGCATGTTTTAGATGTTTCCCAGCTTTCACTGACCTGCTATCCATTGATAGCATATTATCAGCTCTTGCTTAACAGCAATCATCTGAACCAGGTGAGAAACATCCAAAACATGCCGGGCAGTGTGCCTTGAGGACCAAGTATGAAAAACACTGTTCTATATGCTCCTAGCAAATCACATCCAGCTCTAATATTCTGCTCAAGCCATTTGAATAGAAGATCCTAGAGAGATCCATGTTATGAAACACTAAAATATATTCCTAATGACAGGGCTATGAAGAACTCAGACTTTATAACTGATTTCACAAAAGGCCTGCGATTTTTTTTTTCTTAGTTGAAAGAACTTAATTTGAATTAGGCCTTTTATAAAAGCAAATTCCTGTTATGTAAACAAAATGTTAGACTTCTAACTGCGACATAGAGGCTGGCACAGTGGTTGATTCGGGTCGCACCATAACCATCTGTCATCCTATACAGTAACGGAAAACATGAACTGCGTCACAACCTTCATTTTCTCCAGAATCGTGCCCAGACTTGAAAACAGTTTTACACACCGACCGAAAAAATGAAATCACCAAGAGCAATAAGCGTTACTCGAAACAAGACATTTTTCTTTTTACTTTATATTTTATCTCCCTCAGGCTGACAGAAAAAAAGCTTTAAATCAAATCTATGACAGTAGAAACCAGTTTCTAACGCTAAAATAACGATTAAACCGAAAACACGATTAGACTTAAGAATAGTACTTATAAGAATAGTCGGTTTCTGTACCTTAGTTATTGTCAGTTTTATTTTTTCAAAACCTTTACTCAAATAGGACAGTTAATGCTAACGTTAGCACCAGCAGACAGTCACTGTAGCTCATTTAAAAATTATTTTCACCAAAAGCCGATTTGAGACTAATCGTAAAAAGCCGCGATAGATTAAATAGCATTATACAGAATAGCGTGTTTAAAACAGACAGTAATTTATATTTTTTTAACTGCAAACGATGGTCTTTTGTTAGCAAGCTAACGCTAACAGCATACCGCGGGTCTAAAAGAGGCTTTTACGACGTTGGGCAGTTTAGCACGCGATTCAAAGGCTTTAATATAGCGGCATAATTAAGTCTTCAATGATGTTTAAGAAATGAACGAGTTAATGAGCGTCCGTTACAAAGCTCCCAAATTCGTTATAAAACACTTACTGTAATCAGCGTCACTTTACTTAAAACATTGAATCCACCTGCTTTCCACACTGTTCTGCGGCTTCAGCTGTACCGGCGTTTCCGTGGGAGTGGGCGATACCATCACAGAGCGGAGGGGAGAGTGCCCAAAACTCCTGAACTCTAAAATAAACCCTTTACGCCTGGTGCAATTTTCTCGGTTGTTTCTTGAAAATAAAATAAAATATATAGGATAATAATTCCCTAAATTTGAAATGTTATAACCAAAACCCATGTGATAAAAAATTAAAGAAGTGCGCAATCACCGTTTATGAAAGAGAATTGAAATCTCCTAATTTATTTTTTAAAGGAGCCGTTCACCTTTTTCACAAGACTAGGAGAAGACGTCACATGTTTATGAAAAGTCAAAAGACAAATTCGTAATCATTATTAAATATTTGAAGAAATATGATCAAATTAACTGGCATGTAGAGTTAATATGAAAACTAGCCAAATCTACAGTTATATGTGATTAAAATACATTTATTGCATTATGCCAATTTGTTTAGTGTCAAACAAGGTTTGCAACATACACTATGTGGGGCTGATTCTATATGGGGCTGGTTTGTTGAGATTCAAACCTTGACATGTGCAAATTAGCAATTTATCACTCCAAATGTCACTATGTTTTGCAAAAAGAAAATAAAGACTGGGCGGAATGCAACATAAAAGACTGGTCAATTTAAGCAGCTGTCTAATACCCATATACAGAGGATAGCTCAGATGTAGGGATGTGTTGCCCTACAGTACCAAAGCTGGAGGCCCAAGATCATTCAAGTGTTGAATGTGCATGCCCTCTATGCCAATATAAGGATTTTTTTCAAAGATATCCCATTCTCTGCCACTTATACATGTATATTAGGTTAATTGACAATATAGAGGGAATTTTGTTCCATTACTGTTACAAGAAAAGAACACATTTTTTGATTAAAAAAGAAGGCTTTGTGATTGAGGTTGCTCTTTTCTTATATTTGATTTTTTTTCAAAGTAGTTTTTTCTTTACTTGTGTTTTACCAAACTACTTTTATAGATTATTTCTTCAATTTTTATTTCTCCTTTTCAAGCTGAGTCTTTGCCACTTATATTACATTACAAATGCTCTACTTTGACCTATCAAAATGTTGTCACTAACGTCCAACAGAAACGTGTCTTCGCTCCTCACTACAGAGCAAAGGTCACTCCCAGAAATAAAGAGAATGTTATCTAGAAAATGGAATTTGAAAATAACAATTTTCATAAAACTAAAACTGAAAAGGAGAAATAAGAACAAATAAAATGTGAAAATATTAAATTTTAAAAAATGGTCAGAAAAAATCTGAGAAAAACAACAAAGTTACTACCAAAAGTTTATTTTGATTAAGAACTTTTTCAAGGTTTCATTTCTGGGTTGCATTTTGGATTGCATTGTTTTTAAATTTCCATTTACCAAGCATGTTCCTTGCTTTCAACAATAAAGGGACAAAATTCACTCCATATGCTAACTAAATACATTCCTGTTTGGTCTATGTTGGCTTTTGGATTAACTGAAGTAAACTGTCTAGTTTGGACCCAACACTGTAATCTTAATGCGTTTAGCTCACACTACATTTACATCTTATCACATTTTCTCATTCTGTTTTCTGTTCTGTGTATAGCTATAGGCTTATTAAAGTTTTGCAAGATTAGATTTTATTGTAAATGCAAAAACTAATTGGAACCTAACATTTAATTCAAACATACTCAACAATATTCAAGTATACTCAAACACATTAAGGACTATATTTCCTTTCTTTTCCCATGTGGTTTACGTCAGTTATCATCAAAGGCAGTTTTTTTTGTACACACTAATTTATTTTACTAAATGTTTTATAAAAAACACTTTTAGGAAATAATATTCATATACAGTGGATTAGAGCAAGTATTGCTATGTAATCCTGTTTTATATATGTATATATATACACACATGTATATGTATATATATATATATATATATAGATATATACCCCATGCACCTTATTGTACCTTCTGTTGACTATTGAGCCGATTTGACAAGTGAATTTCTCTCCTGTCAGATCAATAAAGTCTATCCTATCTTATCTTACTTTGTCTATTTTGCAGGTTTTTCCTCTTGGAAAGAATGTAAATGTATTAATTTTCATCATAGGTTTTCTCCAGCTGTGAT